AGAGAATTTTGTTACAAACAAAGAACAATGAATTATCGGTTCCGTAAAGCTAACGCGATTGAGCCTTACAAATAAACGAACTAGATATAAAAAAAGTCGAATACATTCTGATAAGACGTCTGTGAGTAGTTTCGAAAAAAACCGTGGAGCTCTAGAATCGGTTTAATGAATTGACCACTTTTACGGATGTTCCGGATCTTCCGATAGACCAAGCCGTAGTCCCCAGGGTTCATATTCCAGTCCCAACTCCGAATTCATTCTGATAAGACGTATATGAGCAGTTTAAAAAAACACTGAGCTCCAGGAGACCACTTTAAAGGATGTTCCGGTTATTCCGGTGGACCATCCCATGGTCCTCAAAGTTCAATTTCCGATCACAACTCCGAAATAATTCTGATAAGACGTCTATGAGCGGATTCAAAATCACCACGGAGCTCTAGGATAAATTTTATGAATTGACCATTCAACGCCGTTAACATCAGGCGACCCCCCCCCCTCCCCCTTCGATGAGAATTTACATGACAATCTTTAACGGCGTTACCGTTATTAAAAACCCTGCTGATGCTAAGGTAAGTGTGCCAATTTTTGATCCTGGTGGCCCTCTAATTGTCCCTTTCTTAAAATTCACGTTTGTTTCATTCTTATCCAAATTATTTCGAAACAAGTTTAGAAGGAATATTTTGACACATAGGGGAAATGGCTCTAATGTTGGCCTATGGATCTAAGATTGGGCCCATCGCTAAAAATCTGCTATTTATCAATTTTATCTAGATAAACGCGTCTCTGGGACGGTAGTAATGGATATTTTGGTCGCTATTGAAAATTTAGTCGATTGCTGCATTTATGTATGGGCCCAAATTAGGGGCATTTAGGCCGACATTACATCCATTTTCCCTATCTACCCAAATTTGATTTAGACCATAGGGCCAAAATCTGGACCACTAGTGCCAAAACTGGCACACTTACCCTATAAAGAAGGACTACATGGATTTGAACACAGGAGTGGAACTTCGGATCAGAAAGTGGCTCCACTTGTCATTTGCAAACACTAGCGCACCTAGCGGTAGAAGGCATCTTCTGCCTGCAGTTAAGATAGGCAGCATCCTATGATAGTGTGAGTGCACATAGAAAGCCCGTGTCGAACGCTACCACAATACATCGCTTGTTGAGCAGAAAACGAAGCACCTTTTGATTCACCGATTTTTTTGCACTTCCCCTTCTGTTCTGTGATTTGAACATTGATTTCCATACAAAATTGCGCTATTGGAAAATCCTATAAAACGTATCTTTTTGCCAGGTGGCTACTGCTCTTCGAAATAGGTGTGTCGTATGAAAATCATTTGCAAAAAACTTTCATTGGATTTTTCAAAGCGATATCGTCATTCATTCATCCAATCAAATTTAAAGAATTTCGCCAATCAATGGCAATTACGTGAAGTTTTACTTCAGTGTACAGTCAAGAGAGAGAAGTCGACATTTTGTTCAATCGCTTTTTGTCCATCTTGTCCTCTTAGATTTCATTCCACCATTTGTCCCCCTAACGCTGGTTTTAGCCTAGGCAAGTCAAATGATCAACTCAGTTGAATTCAATTGGCTTGAAAAGTTGAGCCTGGTTCAACTTTTTCAATTCAAGTGAGTTGATCGAGTCAGTTGGTTTACACGTTCAATTCGCGTTCAAGTCAGTTGAATTCAACTGACTCGATCAATTGACTTGCCCTGTCTAAACCCAGCTTAACTGTCATTCGTCCTGTTTTTTATCTTCCTTTTGTCCTTCGACCTTTAATCCTTCAACCACAGTCCTTAAAAACATTGAAAAACAAATCCAAAGGAAGGACAACTGTACATCAGACACGGGGAAGTTTTTATTTTGCTGATAGACAGAAGCAGTGCTGCAAAATATCGACAATATACGGCGATATTCGAAATTCTGCTTTGGTCACTCATTTGAGCTAACAGTCATCGTCAAGGCAAACAATCTCAATTGTCAGTGACAATGCTGTCAGTGACGAACATGTGCAGATGTTGTTATTATAGTCGCTATATTCATAGTCTGAGCGGATAGAATCTCGCGAACCAATTGAGCTGTTAAATAGCGGAACCAATCGAGCAAATCACGACCAACAACTAAAAAGAGCACATCAGCTATGGCGACCAAAAGTTCGGAAAGTCGCCTACGCAAACTAACACCATATTTTGGTTGAGGAAAGTTTCCCCTATCCGATGATGCCGGTAATTTGTGTTCGATTGGCGAAGAAAGAATAATCAATGTTTTGTTTATAAAAGTTGATAGTACCTTTTCAATTGTTGGGTCTAAAATATATTGAATTGGTTCCGCTTTTTGATAGATCGAAATTCTATCCGCCAGACTATGCATATAGCGACTATAGTTGTTATAGGCTAAATTTGAAACGGATTAAAATAGCTTGAGCAAAACAATTACATGGAGCCATTAAAGTGAACAAGCATCTTCGTCCTGAACTGCTTGGATAACAGTAATGTGACTCAGAATGCACGAAATTACACGTTTTGTGACCAGGTGAATCTTTGTCAGTCTATTAGTGACTATGTGAAAAACAATTTTGTCAATATCGCGCGAAAGACTGTCAATGACAATGACAAATCTCAGCACTGGACAGCAGATTGATTGAAGGAGTGCGATGCGAGTAGATGGATTTAGCTGCGAGAAATTCGGGAGACTTTTCGTAGATTGATTTACTAGCGTGAGATTTTTTCGGCATCTTAAGACCTGTCGAAATGAAGTACAGTAAGAGCTTGATTTTGGCATGCATCGATTTTTGCAACACAGTATTCGTTTTTGGTAATTGGTATGTAATTTTTCCACCCGATTGTGGCCCGTTCAGAAAGATCTCGATTTTGATGCCATAAATTAAGCAGCTGGGTTACCAAAATCGAGATCCCACTGTTTTTTCAAAAGCAAATCAAATTTAGGTCAAAACCCCAACCAATTTAATAATGTTTTGAACATGATGTACTTGAAAACAATTAAGATTTAGAAAAAAAAAAGCTGCAATCTATCAAAATATGCTTACTCAAGGACTGACTGATGAACTCTGTTCCAAGAACGTTCTGGGTATCGTTTGGCGTGATTTTGTAATCGTTTGTCTCGTCTCCAGAGGATCTATTTACTCAAATATCATACTGAAAGCCGTTACTTTCGATGACCCTAGCATAAATCGATTTCCAGCAGGCAGAGGTCACAACCCTGTCCGGAGTGGCTATCCGCTTAAACGCACCACGTACAGAGAAGCCAGCAGAAGAAAAAAAAACATTACACAAATCCGAAAAAGCTCGTTCTTATCCGCATTTTGCGCTAACCAGCGAGCCAGCAAGAGCCAGAAACGTCAGAGACAGCTCAGAGCGTTCGGTTGGTTATATACGACGATGATGACACACAACGGACGACGACGACGACGACGACGACGCTCGCTAGTGCCAAAAGACAAAGAACACATGGCACGACACGGATTGGATCGTCGGAATGGAAATGGAAACGGCAACGAGGGGAGGGTATATGAGACTAGATTTAAATTTACATGTAAATCACATGTTTTCCCAGCGCTGGGACAACGACGACGCACTGTGGTTGTCTAATGAAGCCGGCATTCCACTCCTCTCTCCCTCTCTCTCACACACACACACACACACACTTTCAGCCTCAGCAGAATGAATAGTTCCGAAAATTACACTATCCTAAATCATAAAATCTGATAAAATTTTCAGCAGACCAAATTAGAGGCCGTCACTGTTCTCCGGTCTGGCAAGAAGACCTTGATCAAGAAGGCTTCGCTTCGACTGCCCGTTGGGGACTTTATAGATTGTAATCTCACAAATTAATGGGTTCAATTTTGCCTTCATCTTGCTTCATTCTTCATCAATTTCCTGTCGTTTTTTTGCCTTTACTGATTTATTAGCAATTCATTAGTCGACTGGTTTCGCCTCTCTGAGCTCATAAACTGAATATCATAACAAAATTTGTTATAAATAATGATAAAATGAAGAAAGTGTGCGTGAGTTAGAGTTACCAGAAGCGCTCATGATATTTTTCGAAATTTCGTTCAACAAACAAGCAGCAAGTAGAAGAAGAAAAACATCGCTCAATCTCACATTTGACCTAGCGAACAACAAACAGGTTCAAAAAGTTGCTGCGCCACTTCTGCTTGCCGATGACGGCGAAGAAGCAAACCACACGAACGCATCATCGTGAAAGCATCCCAGGCAGGCCATGACTTTCTTCGCAGAAACAAAAACAACACAAACAACAACGACGACGTTGTAGAGGTTAGGTTCGTGTTATCCGATGTGTTCAAGTGTCTTCCCCCTGGAATAACTCTGGCAGGCAGCGTTTCGAATCCATCGAACCAGAGAAAGAGCAAACGGGCAGCGCTGAATGCAACAAGACAAAGGTAGAAAGCCCCCCGAAATACCGTTACAATACCTTGGCTCGGCCGAGTAATGACGAGGCAGAAAAAAAACAAACCGCACCACGACCATCATCATCATCCCCATGGTCTACTATTCTGCGTGGTGTTTTCATTGCGTCCCGACCCGACCCGTCCCATCACTCACTCGCACAAAAGATAGTTTGGTTGTTGTTTTCGTTTTTGGTAGAGAGGGAATAAAATTCCTGAGTGTAGCGAATCGAAGAAGGCGTTTCTGCTGCGTATTGCGATTATCCATTTATCCATTATCCAGCAGATGGCATGGCGGCGGCCCGGGGAGGCCTTGGATACAGCGAAACTTAAGATCGTTGGTTATGGTCGGTCGTTGGGGCTATTACGAAAACATTTTTTTTTTTTTTGCCTTCTCAATCAAACCACACAATAACAAACATCGTCCGCGCAGCAGCGGCCGGAATGTGTTGGGCTTTCTGGGTCATATCTATCGGAACACACTCGCCCGGCCCGGCTCGCAATTGGGTTCAAGATTTCTAAGATTACGTCATATCGGGGTGTTTTGTTTTGGATTCCCTAGATACCTACCTTCCACCGTTCTGCGCACTTCCGCGAGAATTCGGCGAATATGACTTGCTCCTCCGGGTGCTTCTTCTTGTGCTCTTCGCGGCAGGTTTGTACGAAAAAGGCATACGCTGTCATGCGCCCCCTTGGTTTATTGTCCTTCACGGGCCTGCTGTTGGTAATTTTTGGAACCGCATTGTTCTGCACCTGCACGTGTGTTTGATTCTGTGGGGAGAAAAAGGGAAGTTGGCTGTTAGTTACACCGGTATTTTGAGATGTTTGAGCGTCAACTAGGTCGTAGGAGTTAGTCGGTTGCAATAACCGCTAAATGAAGTAGGCTATGGTGCCTTTTTTACCGGAAACAAGCAAGCGATTTTACACACCGTCGTTGGCTGGGAAAAATTAATAGGCTTTGAACTGACTCGCAAACAATCGTATGTATTTGGTAAAAGTTCAATTACTCACATTCTGATCACATAATAAGCTATTGAATGTCTACAAAATGACAATTATCACTACTCTCAAAACATAGGTACAAAGAATTTGGTAGCATTTAACTAACAATTTGATCGTGTAGACAACCGCCAAGTCTGTACCTTAATTGAAGGGAGATATTTGCTACGAAGGATTTAAAAGCAAGCGGTTTCAGTGTGATCTAATGACGATCGTTTGAATGAAACAAACTGAATAAGGAAATAAGCATCAGAAGGACCCACCCGGCCCGGAGTAAACCCTTGATGATGATAAACAATTTAGTTCAAAATTGATTCACTAGTAGGCAGGCGATGCTAAGGGTGCAGTGAAACGTTCATTTTAGCAATCGGTATGTTGTTCAGAAGACAAAGGCTAATATACATAATGAACAGTTTACTTTGAAATTCTCTTACAAGGTGGCGCTAGTCAGGAGACCCAGACCTTCTGAATGATGGATAGGTTGGTTTGAAATTCTGCCAATAGGTGGTCACTAGGTTCCTGTGAAATTCCTCTACATGCGATATCTTCGGAAATGTTATTCAGGGGACCAAGATCTTCTGTATAATAGGCACTTAAGTTAGCCTTTTGGAGGCGAGCTAGCCCCAGGCTGAAAGCCTCCCTAATAAAGATAAATCAATCAATCAATCACTTAAGTTAGGAATTATCTCATCAGTGTTTACATGAAGTTTCTATACAAACAGTAAAGATTATTCGTCAAAAAATTGCTTAGCTCTATGTTTAATTTGTTTTCTATCCAGGTCCAGAATCCTAAGTCTCAGATCCATTTTCGGGACGAGATCACAGTACGCTTAGACATTCAATCTGGATTATCGTTATCTTTTCGATGAGATCTTAAAAACTTGATCCGGGTGTCTTCAAGAACGGGCTGAGCGGATTATCAGAGAGTATTGGGCAGACATTTGATGGCAAATTTGGCGGATTTCGAGAACCAATTCATAGACCCGGGGCTTTGATGATGAGACTGGAACTGCAATACGCTTTTAAAGCGATAGTATAATCGTTCGCACTAAACAAAATTCTCAATTAACAAGATGGTCAGCTTATTGGTGCCACGATCAATCCTAGACTCACCCGATGCGCTACCTAGTGGCTTCACATTCAAACTGTTTATGATACAACAAACACGTGTAAACGCTCATAATAGTGTGAATGCGTTGGTTCTTGGGTAAGCGTAAAGTGTGATGCTGAAGGTTGGTCACTTTTATTTTCGAGAAGTCGAAAGGTTCCATACCATCCAACATGAACTAATTACTGGAAGTTCATCAGTTCCATACCATCCAGCATACAAAAAAAATTCAATATTCAGGGTGGAAACTGAATTTTCATTTTAAAATTCCAGGTTTTTTCCCGGGTTTCCTGATGAATATATCGAAAATCTCCCGGCTTTATAAGCCATGTTTAAGCCAACAATTGGAGTTTTTCCATAAGAATATTTAATCGTTTCGATGAAATTCATTGAAAATTAGTTTAAATTCTCTTAATTTTTTATAATTAGAAATTTTAACCGTTTTACACAACAGAAAATAAAGCAATCCCAATGTGGGTCCTTACATTTTAAAATCAGATAAATTATTGATAATATTTTAAGAACATCAGTCTAATACATTTTTCGAAACATCACTACAATCCTGATGAATGTGGGCGTCTTAGTGGAATACCTGTATAATGAGAGAGAGAAGGATTAGTATTTTCCATTTAATTCCACTACTTTATTTGCTTATCCTTGACAGATACGCGTATTTCGTCTACAATGTGCAGACTTCTTCAGTGTCTTGTACTAATAGTCGAGTATTAGTACAAGACACTGAAGAAGTCTGCACATTGTAGACGAAATACGCGTATCTGTCAAGGATAAGCAAATAAAGTAGTGGAATTAAATGGAAAATACTAATCCTTCTCTCTCTCATTATCACTACAATGTATATAGTCCCGTTAAATTAGGATGATTCTGTATAAAAGTATTCATACAAATTTTTGCATAAATTCTTAAATATTCTCTAAAATTTTGTTCGTGGAAACCAATTTTGATGTTTCAAAATTCATATAAATTGGAGTCATAATGAGGTGACCCAAGTGTTTTAAATATAATCAGAAGTTATGCCGACTTTCACTCTTACTTTAAATTATTAATTTTACCGCTTATATGAAAACTGTTCAAACCATTACAATACTTTGTATTGTGGCAGAAGAAGCATTTTAATCAGTTTTGAATTAATAAGAGTAATGCAATTATGAGCTAATTCATTTACTCGAACAAGTAGCAAAATGACCACGGTAAAAGATGCCTGGACGAGTGTTAATTCTACCAAGCAGATGACTGCACATAGATTAGGAACGGACAGCAGTAGAACGAAACAGGCGAGAAACTAAAGGAATATGAAAAACGTTCTCATCGGGTGCTAACTCCAAAATGATAGTTTGAAGACTGAAGATAGATAGAACATAAGCGAGTGAATCGTCTTTGGTTCAGAATCCAGACATTGAATTAAAAAAGATTTTCAAAAAGGGGCTGACAAAATCGGGTTACTTTATACTTTTTGAAATATTTGAGTCAACATTTTTTTTGGAATTTTTACGTAAAATATTTAAAATATACCGTGTGTATTTTTCCCAGCCGTCATTTCAATCAGAAGTGTCGTTTTCGTGCTAAAATTTATTCAAAAATCACAGACGCAAGATCAAAAAAGTGAATGATTGCCCATAATTATGCAAATCGAAGAAGGTCGAGTTTTTCCGATTCATCATTTGGCGCTATAAATGTGTAAAACTGCTATAAACCAGCTTGATACCCCCCTTCGAACTCTTCACATGACGTCTTTTAAATTTCCTCAAGAATTGTCTAAAAATAAGAATTAGCTAATAGTTCAGCTTGGAATTCTTTCTCTCTCTGATATTCCCATATAAAGTGCTCCGATTCATTAGAAATTCTCTGAGACCACTTTTTAAAAATGATCTGGAATTCTAATGCCCTAATAATTCACTAAAATTTGTTGCGTGTTGGAGGGGAATTATCCAAAGGGGGGCGTCACATGTTGATCGCAATTCTAGCGAATCAATCCACGAAAAATCTTTTTGCAGGATATCTTCAGAATCTTCATTAATCTTCTTTCTATCTACTCAGCGTGCGCGCAGCTAACGACAGCAAAACAAAATCTTTTCTGCATCGTAGATAGAGTTACCCCCCTTGGAATTATCACAGGAATTCCCCCTGAATTCTGCTCAGCATTCTCTGACCAACAAATCCAACAAATACAATTTTCCTATTTTTTCCCGGAACTTTGGAAATCTTCCCGGTTGTGCGGTACCCTTTTAAATTAAGCATTTGGAATTTTCCTTAAAATTAATAAGAAATTCGTTTCGAGATTCCCTTGAAATTATCATCGGAATTTTCTTAAAACTCTTCGTATAATTCCTACGGAATTGTACCCTTAAAAAAAGTATAAAATACGATACCCTTGGTATTTTTCACAGATCCTGAAATTCTCTCCATAATTGCCATGGAATTTTCCATAGAGCTGAACTCCCACAATTGATATGGAATTATTACCAAAACTCTCGCAGAGGTCATCCTAAAACTCCCTAGGACATTTTCTCTTAAATACCTTACTGTTATATCTAAAATTCATTCCAAAATCTGCTCAAAATAGCATTGCAAACAATAGTCTTAAATTCACTTAATCATTCTTCGAAGTGACTGTATCCTTTTCTTTCCTTTATTTAACGTCGGTCTCTGTTCCGCAATCTAGTGCCAATCACCGACGGACATCGATTGCCATCCATTGACGGCAATCGAATGTGCAGGAAGGCAGCTTCCACACCTGCGTAGGATATCGCACCCATTCATCAACACACATGGGCCGGGACCAACGGCTTTACTTCCCTTCCGAAGGAAGACGTGACCAGAGATTTTTATGCCTCAGAAAAATCCCACCGACCTCGGCTGAGATTGAACCCAGACCCATCGGGGTGTTAGAAAGCAGTCACGCTTACCACTACACCACCGGCGCCGGCTAAGTGACTGTATCCAATTGTCTTGATTTTTTTCAAGGATCAAAATCTTATTTGTTTCGAAGAGACAATTTTCACCTTACTGTCTTCTACAATGGCTGAAGCCACCCCCAATTTTGAGTGGATCTATGAACACTCTATGCGCTCATCTTATGCTTTCAAGCCACCCACATTATTGAGTGGATTTATGGGTACTAGGGTGGGTGCGGGAGAGCTGCAAAGTTTGTATGGAAAAATGTATGGGAAGCAGAACATAAATTGTTCAGTTAAGGGGGTATTCCCGATCTTTTTTTTCAAAAAATCAAATTTTTTTTTTTCACGTTTTTTTGTACTTTAGACTATATACTTTCATCCCCCCAAGCCGTTTTCCGATCAGCGAATTCGGTGTCCAGGCATAGCTGACTAATGGTAAGAACCCCCAAATGGTTTTAACTAAAGTCAAAACTTTAAACGCGTTTTTCTCGAAACCACATTTTTTTTATCGGGCGAAGATTTTTCTCAGAAACTATAAGAGATATTGACTTGAATCTTTGCGCATTTTGTTCCTTATTAAATTCTTTGGAGCTTCTCCCACTTTCAGCCAAAAATATTAACATTTAACATTGTTTGAAGCACCTTAAAGTTGCAAAAAAGCGGGCTAAAAATCGCCTGTTTTTTCATATGGCCGCCATTTTGTTAATTTGCAAGATTTTTTGCTGCCAACGGGAGAAGCTCCAGAGAAT